CCTCTTCCCTTCTAGACAGACCTAGGAATGCAACAGCACTTCCTGGGACACTGGGAAGGGTGCTGCCAACCTATGAAAGTCATTACTATTCTGCAGCAACTTCAACCCCGAGTCTCTAAATACCCCAAATGTCTTCCATGTCCTTACTTTGTTATGAAATTCTCAAAAATCAATATAAATTTAAAATCATTTTAATTGTGGGATATACAGTAAGAGTTTTGGGTTGGGGGAGTGTATGATAAATGGGAGCATGGGCCCCTTCCCATGCTCCAGCTCCTCCTCCCACCCTGTGGGAATACTAGCGAAGGCCATCTGTAAGCGGGATGTGAGACCCTGGCCAGCAACTCTAAGAGAGGCCAAAGAGAAACTGCTTCTAGATGTGAGCCTCGATTGTAAACAGCTTGTGTTGTGTGTTTTTAAATCCTCACCCAAGGATATTTTTTCCATTGCTTTTCAGAGAGAGTGGAAGGGGGGGGAAGAGAGAGAGAGAGAGAGAGAGGGAGAGAAACATTGATGTGAGAGACACATCAATTGGTTGCCTCCTGCACACACCTTGACCAGGGCTGGGGATGGAGCCTACAACTGAGGTATGTGCCCTTGGCCAGAATTGAACCTGGGACCTTTCAGTCCGTGGACCAACGCTCTAACCACTGAGCAAAACCGGCTAGGGCTACAGCTTGTGCTTTGATCTCTCACAGCTTGAGCACTGGCACATCTCCCTCCCCTTGCACGCTGTTTTCCTGTTTTCTGTACTCGATAAAACCCTATGCTGGGAAAATCTGAGTGGTGGTAAAATAATAGCACCCGCCAGCCACCCCCAGTGCGGCTCTTCTACAGGCCAGATGGGACTTGGTGGGACAGTTTCACCTGTTGGCTGCCACCAGTGATCAGGTAAGTCCTAATAAACCCATGTCTTTCACAGCCAGTCCTCCAGGTTATTTCTTTGGAATCCACAAACAGTATGCAGAGGTTTTCTTGGACCTCGGCACCTTGCACAACAGGGAGTAAAATGGGAAGGGAGTTTTGAAATTAAAAAAAGCAACAGCAGGTTGTTGCAATCCCGTAATGGGATCCATGACTTTATTTATGGAAACAGGGTTAGCCAGAACAATCTTAATGCCAAATATCTGACGTGGTCCCCCATTTTTTCCTGTGAGGACAGCAGCCAGGGTTTATCATCACAGACGAGATAACTGAGGCCTCAAGGAGACAGACAGGGACTTACAAACACAGCTTTCTAAAACTCACTGCCTGGAAAATGCAGGTGGGGCCTGGGAACCTGCAATTCTGGGAAAGGTCCTCAAGAGGGGTTGGTTCTAGAGCAGGACAGGGAGGTTATACATAGACAAGCACACAGCCAGCAGGGGAGCCCAGGTTTTCCAGCAGGGGAGCCCAGGTTTTCCAACTCGGCAATTCTCAACAGCGGTGATTTGGCTCCAGCGGGCATTTGGCAACATCTGGAGACATTTTGGGTTGTCACAACGATGGAGAGCTCCTGGCACCTAGTGGGTAGAGGCTAGGGATGCTGCTTAACATCCCACAGTGCACAGGACAGTCTCCACCACAAAGAATTATCTGGGCCAAATGTCAGTATTGCCGAGGAAGAGAAACCCTGCAATCTGGCTGCTTAATAACAACTTTCTGCAAGGCCCAAGCCCCCACATCTGCCTGTGACCTGACCCGAGGGCACCAGCCCTCAGGCCATGCCTGTGGGTCCTCCCAAATCTCTCAAGAAGCCTCCTTGGTGCCTGCACTAGTGTCCCAGGCACCATTCACCCTATATGGGGGGGTGCTAGGGCCTATGCCACTTGACGGGTGCCCATAAGGGAGGCAAAGGACACTAACCCAGCCAGCTGAGAGAAAGAGGGCAGAAGGGGGGAAGGCAAGGTGATCCCTGCCATCAACATGGCACTTTGACTGCCGGCCTGACTGGCAGGTGGGTGCAAACACTTAGCTAAGTAACTTGCACCATCCTAGAACCAGCTACCACGGCAACCCCCTATGATGGGACATTGTGGCAACCCTAGCAGTTCCCATCAGGCTCCCACAAGGCAGCATTCTCTAACAGCAGGGACATTCCTAAGTGCACAAAAAGCCCTCTGAGGACTGCACACCCAGGTCTGAACCTGTCCATCTGCCCCTTTTTTGAGCTGGTTGGGTCATTCTGGGCACTCACACATTCTAGAAGCCTTCATCATAAAGGTAGGCAGGGTGCAGGCTGCTCTGCAGTGTGTCTACCTCTCCAGCTGCCGAGGCCCTCCATAACCTGCCCTCAGCCACGCATGCAGCCTTCTTTGTCTTTATAACAATTTTTGTCTTAAAGTCTATCTTGTCTGATAGCTTAGTCACTCCAGCTCTCCTCTGGTTATTGCTTACATGGAATATCTTTTTCCATCCTTTTACTCTCAACCTATTTATGTCCTTGAATCCTAAAATGTGTCTCTTGTAGACAGCATATAGGCACAATATTTCTTTTTTAAGATTGATTCTGCTAATCTCTGTTTTGTGTGCGTGTGTGTGATAAAGTACACATAACAATATTAAAGTGAACAATTTAGTGGCATTTACTACATTCACAAGGTTTGCGATCATTCACCTCTATGTAGAACATTTTCATTACCCCCAAAGAAACCCTAGATCCATCAGCAGTCACTCCCACTGCCCCCACCTTCCCCAGCCCCTGGCAACCTCTAATCCACTTTCTATCTCTATGTCCAGATGTTTTATATAATCATGCAATATGTGGTCTTTGTGCCTGTCCACTTCCACTTAGCACTTACAGTTCATCCATGTTGTCAATTTGCCCCTCTCGCCTGGCATCAGCCCACCTTGGCCAGGCTGGACTCTCTCATCTCCCACAGTCACCAGGCATGTTCTCCCAGGGCTCTGGGTGCCTGACTTGCTGAGTTCCCAATCCAGCTCAGTTTCCCTGCTCAGTTCAAATCTCTGAATAATAGTGATCACTGACTGGGCACCTAGAATATGTGGAGCTTTGTGCTAAGCACTTCCCATGCATTATCTCGTTTAGTTTTAACTTTGCAACAATCCTGGGAGGAAGAAACCATCTCCATCTCCCCACCCTTTCCAGTTAGGAAATGGCAGCATGCTCAGCGCCCCACATAGCTAGGCCCTTCACTAACCCGCTCGGCCCAAGACTGGCCAAGTCCCCATTTTCTAACACTGTGACATCGAATGGGTTCCTTAACCTCTCTGTGCCTCAATTTCCTAATCTGTAAATCCTGGATAATAATAGCACCTGCCTCACAGAGTTGCTGTGAAGAGTAAAGGAGCTGTCCTGGCTGGTATGGCTCAGTGGTAAGAGCATCGGCCTGCACACTGGAGGGTCGCAGGTTCAATTCCTGGTTAAGGGCGCATACCTTGGTTACATGTCCAAGCCCAGCCTCCCGTTGGGGTGCGTGTGGGAGGCAGCCAATCAATGTGTCTTTGTCAAGTCAATGTTTCTCTCCCCCCCCCCCATTCCACTCTCTCTAAAATCAATGGGGGGAAAAATATCCCCACTCCTCGGGTGAGAATTAAAAGAAAAAAGATTAAAGGAGCTAACAGACATAAGTATCTAGCTTACCTGGAAAATGATGAGCACTTCCTTTCTGTGCCCACCACACCTGACATGCTTGCCTTACTCTCTGGCCAGGACGTCTTGGCTTGTGGCCTCCCAACCACTGGTCCTGCCTCCTTTGCTGACCTCTCTCCCCTGAGGCCAGACCAGCCTTCTTTAGGGTGGCTTAGCTCACATCCAGGCCCTCCCACAATCTACCCTCTGAATAAGAACAAGTGCTTCTCCTGGAACCTGAGGCCCCCCAAGGTAGGGCCCTAGCCCGCCTTCCAGCTCCTTGTTCATGACCCTCCTCTGGGGATCAGCCAAGATGACTGTCCCTTATGCCTCAAGTGTGCCCTGTGCTGGCTCCTACCACTTGCTCCTCTAGAAAGGACCCCTTCCAATCTGTCTGCTGAACGTCTATCCACCTTTCCAGAACCTTCTCAACCTGCCTCAAACCTGGCTCTCTTCCCCCAAAGCTCCGTTCCCAGTTCTCTCTATGGCACGTGCCTCAGAGTGGCCCCTCCGTGAGGCGGATGTTTTCTCTCAGCCCCTGCACATGATCTTCCATCCCCCGCCATGCACTCAGTGCCCTGGTGGTTACCACAGGCACTGTGCCCATCATACCTCCGCCCTCCAGGTGAGCCAGTGGGAAAATGACAGGGGAGAGGGCAGGGTATTCATTCCCCAAGATGCAAAGTCTTCCCCGACACTGCAGGCCCTGATGGACAACGATGTGCTGAGTGGGGAGGCAGGAGATCACATGGTCCAAGGCAAGCCCTGGGTCAGAGGCCTCCGCTCCTCTCCTGCTCTGCTGTCACTGGCTACAGTACCATCAGCAAATTAATGAACATTTCTGAGTGTCAGTTTCTCACCTATAAAGTAGGGATAATTCTCTTTCCCGCATGTCGCATGGCTAGTTCCTGAAGATTTCTATTCGCTTGCTTTCTGTCTGCCGCCCTTGCTGGAACATGACCTCCTTTTCAGCATGACTACCATGGGGCCTCCCTCAGTGGACATCCTCAATTATTATTATTTTTTACTGAGGTGAGATTCACATAACATACAATGAACTATTTTAAAAGAATAATTCAGTGGCATTTAGTGCATTCACAGTGCAACCGCTGCCCTCCATCTAGTGCCAAAACATTTCCATCACCCCAAAAGGAGATCCTGTAACCAATAAGCAGTCTCTCTCCATTCCGCCCTCTGTCCGGCCCTGGTAACCACCAATCTGCTTTCTGTCTCTGTGGATTTGCCCATTCTGGACATTTCATATAAACGGAATCACACAATATGTGGTCTTTGTGTCCCGCTTCTTTCCTTAACACTTGATGACAAGCTTGGAGCTTTGGTTCTACCTGACTCCAAAGGGGACCCAGGGAACAGGGGGCCTGAGAGGAGAGCGAGAGGGCAAGAAGCTTCTGGAGGCCAGGTGGGTTACCTTTTCTATGGCTTCTTCGTGGCCCTCCACCATCTTGCGGAGCTTTATGAGCTGCCACAGTTCCTGGGCAGGCTGGCCGGCGCCTTGGCTGGCCTCCAGCAGCATGGAGGTGGAGGGCAGCTCCTGCAGCACGGCCAGCTGGCTCTCTATCTTGTCCACGCGGTTCACCATGTGGTCGAAGACGTTATTCAGCCTCTTCATGGGGCTGAGGATGGGCTGAGCATCTCCCTCCCGGGGCATGAACACAGCCTGCGAGGACTGGAGGAAGTCTTCGTCCCCCGAGAGGACCTTCTTGAGCTCAGCCATGTGGATGTGCTCCAGGATGCCGTGGAGCAGGAGGTGCAGGGCCTGGAAGTTCACCACCCCGCACTGCGGGATGGCAATGTTGGCCAGCTCGGAGAAGGTGAGCGAGAAGCTCATTCTGCCT